ACCGAGGAACAGTCCATCTTCCCCGAACTGGCATACAGGCCACCGAAAAAAGAGCAGCGAACTGCAACGGTTGCAGTTGCTGCCGGTGTTGATGTGCGTGGAGCGCAGAAGGGGAAGGCGTCCGGAAAGTCGCGTAAAAGCACGGCGACCGCAACCTCTGCAGCCGATCCGGCAACCGTCGCGATGACTGCAGGTTCGCGCGTTAACATCAAATGTTGGAATTGCGAGAAAACGGGACACGTTGCACGCGAATGTAAATAACCGCAGCGCTTGCATTGCTACCGCTGCGGGAAAGTAAATTTCACCGTCAAGACGTGCCCCTCATGCTCGGGAAACGAAAAAGGGAGTCAGTAGGACGGGTCTGCGACTCCTGAAATTGCAATAGGGATCCCGATACCAGATTGTACCGGCAGTTCGTACGGTGCTCTTGATTGCTCCCGGTTAACGCCGTTATTGTATTTTAAAGTATTCGTGCAGAGGCGACCCCTTCAAACCCTCGATCCTGGCTCGAACCGTACGATCTTTGGTCGGGAAGGAATCGAAATTATATGACAGTTTAGGATACCAACTAGGCAGAATAACGCGTCGCGAATTCGTACCGTTAACGGTCAGATCGCCGAAATACGCGAAGAAGCGGAAATATCGCTCATGTTAGAGGATCGAAAGTGTGATATCACCGTAGAGTTATTGCTGACTTTGGTTGTTCCGTGCATAGCGGGGTTGGACTTACTGTGTCGATTAGGCATTAACATAAGTTTCGCGTCCTCAAGATGGTGTTTCGAGGACGAGCCTAAAATCAACTATCCATTTGAGTCGCGAGAAATACTCGCGAAAACGTGCTGTGCTGCGCTCCCCGAATTAAAGCCCTCTGAGCAAGACCGACTTAAAGATGTGGCGACCCTTGAAACTAATTGCAGTCTCAGCGAGATCGAAAATCGAAATTTTACATTTGAAATAGATCAGCGGACTTTTTATATTTACAAGCGAGCAGTTAAACCTAGAAGTTTCGAGAAGGTCGATCGGCCGTGGCAGGCTATTGTTGTTTCATATTGACGGATATATATTTTGACAAAGCGTGACGTGTCATACGAAAACTTGTTGACGCGAAGATCGGCCGTTTACCTTTGAATACGGAGAACTAGCCAATAAAAATCTGCCACAGCTGATGGAGAGTTAGTGGGAGATCTCGCGCCACAGTGCCCCGTGAGAAAAATTAAGGGCTTCGCCTCGGAGATGTAACGGAGTACAGACGTCGCGATTAGAGAATTTAATTATCGAGTTCTGAATATTGAGAGCATTGTATTGAGTTGTCCGGGCGCTTGGGGCTGCGAGCCTGTTTGGATTCTGGTGTAAATGTCGGTGCGAATAAAGACAGCGAGAACATTTTAATACTATTAACTTTGTTTTATTGGTGACCTCCGAAATTTTTATCTTGTCCGGGTGATCCGTGAATAGCACGCGTACGACTACAAAAGTGGTGACCCCGACGTGATCCGTTCGGTGACGCGAGTGAGTGACTCAGTGAGAAGTGGACACGGACACGGACACAGGAAGAAGACATTGGTACGAGACGCGATGGTGATCACGCGCGAGGATGGCCCGTCGACTCCGACCCCGGTAAGCCGTGCAGCTTCATCTTTGCTGCAGCTGCAGGGACAACCCGCACCGCCGGTCGCGGTCGAGCAGGCACCTGTGTTTTACGGCGCCGGGGCGGAGGTGAGTCGAGTTGGCATGCGCGTTCCGGAATTCACTCCAGTTGATCCGGAACTTTGGTTTAAGATACTCGATCGCAGTTTTCAGGCCGCCGGCATAACAACGGACGCGACAAAGTTTGGATACGCGATAATCGCGCTCGGTTCTAAATATTCGGTCGAGGTGCGTGACGTAATAATTAATCCGCCGGCCGAACAGGCATACGAGACCTTGCGCGCAGAGTTAATAAAGCGCCTCAGCTTGTCGCAGGAACATAAAACGCGCCGGTTACTTGAACATGAGGAAATCGGGGATCGCAAACCGTCTCAATTTTTACGTCACCTACGCGCGTTGGCGGGAAACGTAGTCGGGGACGGAATTCTGCGGACCGTCTGGTTGAGCCGATTACCGGCTCATATTCAGCCGCACCTGGTGACGCGGACGGCGGATACGTTGGATCAGCTCGCCGATATTGCGGATGCGATAGTCGAGGCCACGAGAACGCCCGTTTTTCAGGTGGCGGAGGCCGCACGGGCGCCGGCAATGCCAGGAGACGCGGCCGGCGGAATAGCGGCAATCGAGGCGAAAATTAATGTACAATTGGCGCAGATAAGATTAACTTGGCAGCAAGAAATGCAGGAGCAGCTGGGAGCGATAAGGAGATCGATTGAGGTGATCACGGCCGGCGGATCGGGCGATCGGGGTGCCGACGGCGGTCGCCGTCGGGAGCGTTACCGGTCGCGCTCACGCTCGCGCTCGCGGACGCGGGATCGCGGTCACTCGTCAAACGGGCTCTGCTGGTACCACTGGCGATGGGGGCCCAATGCACATCAATGCGCGCCGCCGTGCGAGTACCGTCCGGCTCACGCGGGAAATGCGTCGGCCGATCGCTAATGGCGACGAGCGACATGGGCCGGCCGACCCGTCGCCTTTTCGTAACGGATTTGTATTCCAGGGTAGACTTTTTAGTGGACACAGGGGCTGACCTATGCGTGTTTCCCCGGAAGAAAATCCGGGGCCCGCGGCAGAAGGCGCCCTACGAGCTTTCGGCGGCGAATGGCACGATTATTAATACGTACGGGACGGAAACTTTGACGTTGAATCTCGGCTTACGGCGCAATTTTTTATGGCGATTTACGGTCGCGGACGTATCAAGACCAATAATCGGAGCAGATTTCCTGGCATTTTACGGGTTGCTGGTGGATTTGCGGAATCGGCGCCTGGTCGACCAGATGACGAGTCTTACGGTGCCCGGGCGTTGCCGTCGGTGCGAGGAGCCTAGTATAAAGACCGTTACGGGAGAGACATTGTATCATTCGTTACTGAGGCGATATCCCGATTTGACGAGGCCCGAAGGTCGCCCGAAAGAGAGTAAGCATGACACGCGACATTTTATTGAGACAACACCTGGGGCGCCTGTAGCGTGTAAGCCGCGAAGGCTGGCGTCGGATCGCCTGAGAGCCGCGAAGCGGGAGTTTCAGAAGATGTTGGAGCTCGGAACAGCTAAACCATCGAAGAGCTGTTGGTCATCGCCGTTACACATGGTCCAGAAAAAAGGTGAAGAGTGGAGACCTTGCGGCGACTACCGAGCACTTAACGCGCGCACGATTCCTGACCGTTATATCCGGTGCGTCACATTCAAGATTTCGCTCAGGCATTGCAAGGTAAAAAGATTTTTACCACAATCGATCTCGTCAGGGCTTACCACCAAATACCCGTTGCAGAGGAGGACGTGCCGAAGACGGCGATCACTACGCCGTTCGGGATGTTTGAATTCCCGTATATGTCGTTCGGGCTCCGAAACGCGGCGCAAACTTTTCAACGCTTTATAGACGAGGTTCTGTGCGGGTTCGATTTCTGTTACGCCTACATCGACGATGTTTTAATCGCATCGGCGTCCGAAGCAGAGCATTTGAAACATTTAAAATTATTATTCGAGCGGCTACAAACTTATGGTGTCGTAATAAATTCGGCGAAATGTGTATTCGGGTGCAAAAACGTGGAGTTTTTAGGTTATTCCGTTTCAGATGAGGGGACCCGTCCGTTGCCTGCCCGGGTGCAGGCGATCGCGGAGTACCGGATGCTGCGTACAGCTAAAGACTTGAGGAGGTTTCTGGGCATGCTGAATTTTTACCGAAGATTCCTGCCCAGAGCCGCCGAAACGCAAGCGCCAATGAACAACCTTCTTCAGGATAAAATAAAAGGAAAGGCCGTAATAACCTGGACCCCGCAGGCCGAAAGGGCGTTTGAGCAATCAAAGGACGAGTTAGCGCGAGCTGCCCTGCTAGCCCATCCAAAGATAGACGCCGAGCTAGCGATATTCGCCGATGCGTCCGACAGTAGCGTCGGAGCGGCGCTGCAGCAACGGGGCGAGGATGGATGGGAGCCCTTAGCCTTCTTCTCGAAGAAGCTAAGCCCAACGGAAGAAAAATATAGCGCCTTTGACAGGGAGTTACTCGCGATATATCTGGCGGTTAAACACTTTCGCCATATGGTGGAAGCACGCAATTTTATCATATTTACTGACCACAAGCCTATTATTTATTCTTTTAAGCAGAAACCAGACAAGTGCTCGCCACGCCAATTTCGACATCTCGACTTCATCGGACAATTTTCCACCGACATACGGCACGTATCGGGAAGTGACAACGTCGTGGCCGATGCGCTATCCAGAGTCGAGGAGGTGTTGTCGCCGGTAAACTACGAGGAATTGGCCGCTTCTCAGGATGGAGATGAGGAGCTCGAGATGTATCAGCGCGAGGGATCATTGAAGCTCGAGCGAATTGGGATACCCGGAGCGGGGGTGGCCGTGTACTATGACGCCGCGACGCCGACGCCGCGACCGTTCTTGACGAAGGCCTTTCGTCGAGCGGCGTTCCAGGCGGTGCACGGTTTGGCCCATCCGGGGATTCGATCGACGGTCAGGGCCATGACGCAGCGTTATGTCTGGCCGTCGATAAAAAAGGACTGCCGTGAGTGGGCCCGCTCTTGCGTGCCGTGCCAGAGAGCAAAGATTACCCGCCATGTGTCCGCGCCGAGGGAAGCGTTCATGCCGCCGTCCAAACGTTTTGAGCATATCCACGTGGACATAATAGTGCTGCCGGTGTCGGAGGGCCGGAGATATTGTCTCACGTGCGTGGACCGGTTCACGCGATGGCCAGAAGCGTGGCCAATGGAAAACCAGGAAGCAGAGACGGTGGCCAGAACTTTATACGAGGGGTGGATCTGGTCGCTTCGGATCGCCCCTCCGTATCACAACCGATCAAGGGCGACAATTTGAATCACGTCTCTTCAAACAGTTGAACGTCATGCTCGGAACGACACATTTGAGGACCACGGCGTACCATCCACAGGCAAATGGCATGGTGGAGAGGTTCCACCGGCAATTAAAGGCCGCAATCAGATGCCATGGGGGCGACCGCTGGACGGAGAGCTTACCCACCGTTCTCCTTGGAATACGGGCAGCGTGGAAGGAGGACATACGAGCGACGGCAGCGGAGCTCGTATACGGGGAAACGCTCCGACTTCCTGGACAACTATTGACTAAACAATTAAACAATTCGGACGACGCCGCTGAGTTTATTAAAGAATTGCGCCGGCGTTTCGACGAGTTGCGCCCGGTCGCGAGCATTCCGCACGGAGAATATAAGAGTTTTGTTTTCAGAGATTTGAGGACGACCAGGCACGTGTTCGTGCGCCATGACGGGCCAAAATCGATTTTGCAGCCTCCGTACAATGGACCGTATGAGGTGATCAGCCGGACGGCCAAGACGTTCGTGGTGCGGATCCAGGGAAAAGATGTGACCGTATCCATAGATCGTCTGAAGCCGGCTTATATACTAGCTGCGGACGATGGCGACGACACGGGGCCGATAGCTGGCGAGCCCATTACTGACGGGGACGGAGGCACAAGCGAAGACCCGAACCTTCCCGTCCAAGCGGAGAGGACGACCCGATCGGGGAGAAGAATTCATTTTCCAGACCGTCTCCAAGTCGGAGGCTAGGACGAACGCGAAATATATCGTTCATTTGCGAGACAGTATATCAGCGATATTATTTTTCTGTAAACGCTGAGATTTTAACTATTTATTTCAATATTCAACTATTTATTTTAATTGTTTCGCGTTTATTCCATAACAGTCTGTTTACTCTATTTATTTTGTTCGTTTTATGTATTCAATTTATTATGCTTATACTATTTTATGGCTGTCTTTTATGCGGATGACTTTAGTATTCTTTACCTTTTCTTATATTCTTTATTTTTTTTACTTTTATTTTTCGTGATAGTACATCACTGGCAGGGGGGTGCTGTGGCGACCCTTGAAACTAATTGCAGTCTCAGCGAGATCGAAAATCGAAATTTTACATTTGAAATAGATCAGCGGACTTTTTATATTTACAAGCGAGCAGTTAAACCTAGAAGTTTCGAGAAGGTCGATCGGCCGTGGCAGGCTATTGTTGTTTCATATTGACGGATATATATTTTGACAAAGCGTGACGTGTCATACGAAAACTTGTTGACGCGAAGATCGGCCGTTTACCTTTGAATACGGAGAACTAGCCAATAAAAATCTGCCACAGCTGATGGAGAGTTAGTGGGAGATCTCGCGCCACAGTGCCCCGTGAGAAAAATTAAGGGCTTCGCCTCGGAGATGTAACGGAGTACAGACGTCGCGATTAGAGAATTTAATTATCGAGTTCTGAATATTGAGAGCATTGTATTGAGTTGTCCGGGCGCTTGGGGCTGCGAGCCTGTTTGGATTCTGGTGTAAATGTCGGTGCGAATAAAGACAGCGAGAACATTTTAATACTATTAACTTTGTTTTATTGGTGACCTCCGAAATTTTTATCTTGTCCGGGTGATCCGTGAATAGCACGCGTACGACTACAAAGAATTTATCGCGAAAAACGTACCGGAAACCATCGCTAGTCCTGGTGTCACTTCTCTCATCAAACATAAAATCGACGTCGGTCATCGCGCGCCCGTCAGACAGAGGTGTTATCTCGTTTCGCGGAAGGTCCAAGAAGTAATTCGCGACGAGGTAGACAAAATGTTAGAGGTCGGTATCATTGAGCCATCGTTTAGCGAGTGGTCAAATCCGATAGTGTGGTAAAAAAGCCGAACGGTAAATATCGCTTCTGCCTCGATTTTAGGAAGATTAACAGTCTTTCCAAGAAGGACGCGTATCCGCTGCCGAACATGAACGGCATCTTAGATAAATTGAGATCCGCGTATTATATCTCGACGATCGATTTAAGCCAGGCGTATTTTCAAATACCTTTGGCCAAGGAAAGCCGAGAGATCACTGCGTTTAGCGTTCCGAGAAAAGGGTTGTATCATTTCACCCGGATGCCGTACGGACTAACGGGGGCGCCCGCGACTTTCCAGCGCTTATTAAATAAACTTATCGGATCAGAAATGGAACCACACGCGTTCGCGTATTTTGATGATATCGTAGTTGTAACGCCAACCTTCGAAAAACATTTGGTATGGTTGAAACGCGTATTGGACTGGATTTCGGCTGCCTGTCTCACAATAAACCCGGAGAAGTGCGAGTTTTGTCGCTCGCAGGTTCGTTATCTGAGGTTTGTCGTGTAAAGGGACGGCTTAACCGTAGATCCAGAGAAAACGCGCCCGATATTGGAATATCCACCAACAAACTTGAAACAGTTACGTCGTTTCCTGGGTATGTCATCGTGGTACCGACGCTTTATACCGCAGTTCGCTACCGAACCATTGACGCGTCTTTTGAAAAAAGGAAAGTGCTGAGAATGGGGGGAAGACTAGTGTCGCGCCTACATTATCGTGTCCGGATTTTAACATACCGTTCGTCGTGCAGACCAACGCGAGTTCCGTCGGAATTGGTGCTGTTTTGACGCAAAATATGGACAACACGGAGCACATCATCGCGTTCGCGAGCCGTGCGCTGTCGAATCTCGAGAAGAAATACTCGGTTACGGAACAGGAGTGTTTAGCCGTAGTTTGGGCCATTAAAAAGTTCAGGCCATACTTAGAGGGATACCAATTCACGGTGATTGCAGACCATAGCAGCTTGCAATGGCTCCATAATCTGAAGAACCCGACAGGTAGACTCGCGAGGTGGGCGTTAGAGCTCCTCGAGTACGACTATAATATCGTGCATCGAAAAGGCGCCCTGCATCATGTATCGGACGCGCTATCGCGTATGTATGAGAGTGACAACGAAGTGACGACGATAGCGGTCGCGCAAATAGATCCTATCGCGAATACAGCAGACGCGTGGTATCGTAAGGGTTTTGGAGAGGTTTCGGACGGTCGTAGGCATTTTACGGATTGGCGGATCGTGGACGGACAGCTGTATTATATGAGGCCCAAACCGGTAGTATCGGAGACAGTAGAGGATCTCAACTGATGGAAGTTGGTGTTGCCGTCGGAGCTGCGCGAGGAAGCCTTGCGCGAGACACACGACGATCCTCAGATCGGACATTTGGGCGTAGAGAAAACGTACCAGCGACTTGGTGTCGCGTATTTTTGGCCGAACATGTTTCGGGAGGTCGCGCGGTACGTCAAAAGGTGCGATGTCTGTCAACGCACTAAAGTAGAACAGGCTGACCCCGCTGGTCTTATGGGATAGCGCGTAATCGAAGGGCCATGGACGGTAGTCGCTGCCGATATCATGGGTCCGTTCCCGCGTAGTAAGTCCGGTCATCAGTATGTTCTCGTGGTTCAAGATCTTTTTATTAAGTGGATTGAGTATAGCGCAATACAGGCCGCGAACGGTCAAAAGATTTGCGAAATGTTGAGTGACATCATCTCGCGTTGGGGCGCGCTGAGGTTTTTGCTGACGGACAATGGAACGGAGTTTATTAATCGGACTTTGAAAGCGTTCGCGGACGAGCATGGAATTACCTTAGTAGCCTTCCTAGAGCGGGATCATCGAGAATGGAACCAATATCTTAAAGATTTCCGCTTCGCATACAATACCCCACACCATTCATTCATAGGCGCGTCACCAGCTTTGTTAAATCTTGGCCGCGAGTTGTCGCTGGCAAATTCGTTGCGCGCTTGGAACACGGAAACCGCGAAGGTCGAAACACGGGATCCCGCGGAATGTTCGGAGCGAATGCAGAATTTGCAGTCATTGCAAGCGTGAGTGTCGGAGAATTTGGAGCAGGCGTACCAAAAGCAGTCGTTGCAATATAACCTTCGACGACGCGATCGTAATTTTCGCGTAGGAGATTTAGTCTTGAAACGGCAACACGTATTGTCGTCTGCGGCGCAAAACGTAGCCGCAAAATTGACACCGAAATTCCACGGCCCGTTTAGGATTAAAAAGCGATTGTCGCCCGTAGTATGCGAACTTGCGAGTTTGGCCGGAATCCCGGTTGGAAAAGTTCATGTTAAAGATCCAAAGCCCTATTGCAACCGGCAGCTACCCCACCCGGCCGTAGCAAGGAGACTCTCTCGTGCATCATCGGACTTACGATCACCGGTCAGGATGGTGACCGACTCGATCTCTTTCAGAACGGGACGAGACGGCAAGCAAATGCCAGTTATTCGCTTAAGACGAGTGGCGAGTGGCGGCGAGGACCAGCAGCCAGGTCCGTCCTGGCGAGAATAAATGGACACACGCGATAGTGCACTTAGTGATAAGTTAACATAGCTTATTGAGATAGGTGCGAGCGTGTAAAACTAAGCGGAATAAATGGAAAAAGCGTCCGGTACGTTGTGAAGACGTTTGGGAGACGGAATAGAGTTAGTTCCGGAAAAAGTGCACGAACCGCACTTAAGTGTAGATGAAAAGTGCACTTGATAAAACAAGAATTTTCCAGTTTGCAAAGTCACCGGAAGATAGTCCGGCATTGTATTTTATTTTTATTAATTTTTGTTATGTGTGCGTTATAATAGATGTGCACATATCGGAGGGTGATTAGCTCGGAGAAGTTAGAATTTGTATTTTATTATTTTTTCGCTTATACGGCGACTCTAGATCCTTTGCTACGCGAATTTGAGTTGTTTTGTTATAATAATAAATTTCAGTTCATATTTCTTTAAGAGAGCATTTAGTGCCGTTATAGATGGTATTTGGGTGCGACAGAAGAATTATTTTATTTTCGATTAATTTTGATTTAGTTTGAGCGCGGGATAGTATCTTAGCGCGAATTACGTTACTTTATTTGATTTTGCAGAAAAGTGCACAGAGTGCAGAAGGTGCACATAAAAAGTGCATTTTCTGAAAACTTGCGGAATCGATAGAGAAGCACGCCAAACAAGTTTTGAATAACTTGCAAAGCGTTGCAAAATATTTTAGTTTAGTTATGCTAATAGGTGCCCGCAGTGCATAAGGTACACACCAAGGGCGCACAACTCGAAAGATTATATTTGCTGTTCGGCGAAGAGGGAATAGTGTTCCCGAGTCGGTTTTAGATATATTATGATAGTTAGAATAATTTAATTAGGCTAAGTGCATAAAGTGCACGCGGTACACATGAGAAAGGACACATGTGTATTATTCATTTAAATCGTTTATTTTGACGCGAGAAGCGATTATAATAATTTATTTTCCTAATTAGATTAATTTTAAGAGTCGAGTGTACGAAGTGCACCAGATGCACCTGCAAAAGTGCACATGCGTATTATACGCTAAGATTATTTTAATTAACGCGAATAGCGATTATGTTAAGTTATTTTGTCGATTCGCGTGATTATAAGTTATCGCATGCACGGGGTGCAAGAAGTGCACATGTCCAGGTGCAGTTGCGAATTTTGTAATTTTATTTTAAAATGTTTGATTTAACGCGAGAAGCGATGATATTAATTTTTTTTTTCGCGATCAGACTTATTTTAAGTTCTCGGATGCACCGAGAGAAAGAGGTGCGTATGCTCGAGCGCATTGGCGAATTTTACGTTATTATTTTAAGATATTTATTTTAACGCGAATAGCGATTAGATTAAGTTATTTTATCGATTCGCGTGATTTTATGTTAGCGAGTGCACAGAGTGCAAGAAGTGCACATACTCGAG